TCTCCTTGTTCCTGTGTGTTCCTGGCTCTGGCCTTGTTCCTGACTTAATTGCTCTCCGTTCTCCTGATACTGGCTCGTCTGACTACCCGCTCTGGTGACTGACCCCTACTTGCCTCCTGGACGTTGCTTTTGGTTATTTCTTTATTTGTTATTTACTAATAAAGGTGTTTTTGCATCTAGTTCTGTCTCTGTCTGTTTCCTGGTCCCTAACATTTGTAAAGTTGTGGCTAGTTTGTATACATATTTTTTGCTTTCTTTACTTTTTTAAGGTCACAGATACATGTTAAATAAACTCTCCAAGTACTATGCCCCTCCATAGTGGTTATTGTGGCAGGAGTGTCATAAGAATTGCAGCATAATCTGTCAGACTGTTTTATCATAGTTTGGCACTTACCGTGGTTCTACCGGTGCCATAATGCATTTGATCTTTTCAGAGCTGACGAAACCAGGTGTTTGTCTTCATTCAGTGTCTGCTGCTCTCTCGGGCAATCAATGAATACCTAGATCCTAGATTGTCATCCAGTCTTTTCAGTGGAATGGAGCCAGGGCATTCGTGGCACCATAAACACTACAGTGAGCTGTCGTGATCATAGTGCTTGGAGTGGTCCTTTAAGTCACAGTTACATGGAGTACTTAAAGGGACACTATAGGGACGGAGCTTAACCAGCAAACTGAACAGACGTACGTCGCAGGCCTCCCAGAAAATCGGCGGATTTCTCGAGAAAAATCGAAAGACACTGAGCCTGTAAAAACGCCAAAGGGCGCTACCCAAGTCAGGGTTGCCCTGGTGAACACCCCGATACCTTACCCGAGTTTTATTGCAACCGGGCCTGCGGGTTACGGAGCCATGGGTAGGCGGCCACTCTGTGCTCAGGGTGAGAGGAGCTCACAAATGGAGCCTGCGACATCACCCACATAACTGTAATTCACCAGGGCTGAGACGGGTCGACACTAGACATCTACGCAAGGGATTCGTAACTCCAAGCCTTATCCCCGCTACCAGCTGTGGCTTGGAGAAGGCATCACAAGGTGCCTGCACCTTGAATGTTACCGGACCTTGAGACCGTGTCATGCTGGGTCTCTTACCTTCTTGAAGATGCAGGGAGGAACCCCGATCGTGATATGTGGCCTTATCTGTCAGCTCACTTCAAGACATGAAAGCTTACGGTGAGACTATGTCATACCCTTTGTTGGCATAGGTTGACCCGAGGCAGAAGGGACTTATCCTCCAAGTACTGTGTAGATGGGGAGATATGTGTGTCACTGCCTACCATTCAAGCACCTTTCTCTGCGTTTTTTTAGTTGATTATTTTTATTTCACCATGTTATGCCTCTAACTAGGACTTATGTTATATAATACTAGCGTGTTACCATCGCATTATCTGTTTAAAAAAAAAATGCTTTGTTTAGCTTGCTTACCCTTATTATAAAAATTTGCAGTTTTCTCATGTGCCATGACAATGTACCCATGTGTCTATACCTAAAAATGATTGTGGCATACTATGCCTGTTTGTATTATCTTGCACGCTATAAATAAAGAATATATATATATATATTTTTTTTTTTTTTAAAGAATCCTCAACACAAAAAACGGGCATGTGGGAGAGAATGTAATAAAACAATAATAGTGCAGACTGTTATGCTGTACTATGCGCTTCAATTGAATAACTTTAACAGGATTGAAGTGGTATTAGGCATGTCAAATTCCAAAGGATTTATTCACCGGTTGAAGTCCACTGGTTACCTCCGTGAGTTATAAGGATGACGCCTCTTTAGACACTCAAAATTGATTGAATATACATAATAAACGGTGAAACAAAAATAAACAAACTCCCTAAAATGGTCCAACCCTACGCGTTTCGCCGGGTATTTGTCAGGACTTCCTCAGGGGTAAAAAGTGATCTGAACTCCCATGTGCAGGAGCAGTCTGGTTTTCCAATATTGCTCAGCTCTGTTTTTAAATCTAAAGAGACCACTCCCGTGGCTGCCATGAGCCTATCCACGGAGAGGGGTCTCAGCTGTAATCAGTTCTTTGGGATTGCGCTCCAAGCTTCGCTCCCGTTTGAAGTTTCTCCTTGTATGCGTACACACGTTCCATGTGTGGGTGTGTCATGTGCATATGCGTTTCATCATTTAAAGCGCTGCGTGCCACCAGTTCTTAATATCATCCTTATATAAAGTCCAAATAGTGCTCGGTAGTGACATGTAATAGAATAAAATATATATCACAATCTCAAAAAAAAGAAACATTTGATTATATATTCAAACACAATACAAAAGTTCTTTGCTATAGATGAACTCATGTATATACATACAACTACAAAAATGAATAATTATAAGGTCAGAAGGATCCAGTCCATATCCCATAAGTGTGCTAGAATGCTAAAAATATACAAAAAATATCCCAAAATTTCCAGACATCAAAAACCCAAAAATAAATAAAAATCTATCAATAATTTATAAAAATTATTATAAATATTATTATAAATTATTATAAAAAAAGACACCAGATCAAAATCCACATTCAAGACTCGTGTGTTTAGCACTGGGCTGTATTTGTGTGCTTGAATGTAAGTATGTTTTTGTATGGAGTATGTTTGTGTGAATGTAGGGGTGTGTTTATATGTGGAGTTTGAATGCAATCATGAATTTATGTGTATTGTTGGTTTTTGAATGTAGGGATGTGTTTATACATAATTTTGGTGTTTAACACAGAGGTGTATTTGTATGTAGTGTTGATGTTTCAATGCGGGAGTGTGTTTGTATGTAGTGTTGATGTTTCAATGCGGGAGTGTGTTTGTATGTAGTGTTGATGTTTCAATGCGGGAGTGTGTTTGTATGTAGTGTAGAAGTTTGAATGCAGGGGTGTATTTAAATGTAGTGTTGGTGTTTGAATGCTGAGAATGATGTATGCACATGTACACATCCAATTACACACACACACCTTGATACACATACTCACAGATACACATACACATGCTGACACACATGCAGAAACAGACACACAGACTGATGCAGATACAGACACACCGATACACATACAGATAAACAGATATACATCCTGACACTCACTGACACATACACTGACAGACATACTGACACACACACTGGCAGACATACATACACACACATAGACACATACACTGACAGACATACTGACAAACACACATATACACTGATAGACATACTGACACACACACTGACAGACATACTGACACACAGACAGACACATACACTGATAGACATACTGACATACACAGAAACAGACTTACTGACACACACACGGATACATACATTGACAGATATACTGACACACACACAGACAGACTTACTGACAAACACACACAGAGATACACACACTAACATACATACTGACACACACTCGGTTCATACTGGTTCATACTGGTTCACCCGGTGGTCCCAGTGGTCCTCCCATCCGCAGGCCCATGGTGGGAAAAAATAAATTGTTGAGAGTCAGCGGGGCTCATGGGGCACCCGCTTTGACCACTCTAGGAGTAACTGCGCCAGGGGCAACTGCTCCATTTGACACACATTAAAGATTTAGGACCCCAGCCCCAGCAAGACCTTTTATCTTCAGTATGAGGGGGGGCTGGGGTCCTAAATAGGTATTTTAGCACTATAGTGTTAGGAATACATGTTTGTATTCATAACACTGTAATGTTTCTTTAACACTACATTTCATGCTCACATGAAATGAAACAGATATATGCAACTATATAAAATGAAACCAGTAAGAGTTCTGCTCAGATTTTCTCATTATCCATCAGAAAGGCAAAAATGTATGAAAACCAACAGACGTTTTTCCCTAGATTCAAAAGACTTTCGTTTCCAGGTGATGAGTCACCAATCTGAGACTGCTGAATACATTATTTTTTTACCAAGACTCATTTAACCTACTTGAGCTTGAAATATAACTTTCATTGTTAAGCAAAGGCTGATGTTTTCAAATTACTTATACGAGAAACAAAGAACAAATTCTCTTGTTAACACACAATGTCTTCTCTTCTTTCCCAAGGATCAAACAGAGCAAACTGTGAGGAGGGGGTAGAATCCTTACATTGTTAGTTTCTAACTCGTCTGTAGATAATACAATAATGTAAATGAAAATTCTACAATTGAAAAGTCAAGAAGCATACAAACACGCTGAAGGATTTCTGAGGCATTCAGTGTTGTTTGTTCCTAACTTTTCATATATTGCAGTGTGCTTTAAAATGAATGCGCTGTGTATGTGTCTGTGTTGCATAATTCATATTTTCTATCTTCATTCACAATGACTTTTCAGCTCTTTTTTAGAATGTATTTTGCCCAAAGTATAACTTATTTTGTTCTCCAGCTATTTCTATTTGAGAAAAAATGTTTAAGTGCCTTTGTGTTATGTAGGTTGATATGATGTTGCCCCGAAGAAGAGACACCCAATCTAAGATTCGGAGGCTTCTGTGTTGGCTTATTGCTCTTAAGTAGCCACATGGATTTTTGTAGAGAGTAAACGTGGCCCACAAAGTGCCAATTGTTTGTCCATGTGAATATGATTTAGAAAATAAATCTGTAAGTTGGTAGGATGGACACTGCTTATCGGGACACTCTAAGCTCCAAAACAACTTTAAGGAAGATGTTTTGGTGTATAGATCATAAATGGTGTAGAGGGGATGTGTGAGTCTCAGCCATTGAGGTATGTCTAGGGCTTCATAAACATAGTCACATAACTCCTAGATGGCAGAGAATTTAGCAATGAGAGTGCATTGGCATGATCTACACACCAACACCACTTCAATGGGCTAATGATGTTGTGATGTATAGAGTGTCCCTTTATTTTAAGGACATTGAGGAGGATTCTTGTGTTATTGCCCAACTCAATTTTACACATTTTACCTTCCTAACAGGAATTTAATATGTGGATCCAACAGATAATACAGAGGTGAGTTGCTTTCGATTTAATTGAATTCCACTGAATATCCCTCTTGATGCTGATTCCATAGGTGGCTAAGATGATTCTGCCTTCTTCATAGCCTGTCTATTAAGAGCAAAGTAATATTTATTGAATGTGTATAAGGAATATGCACACAGTTTACTTTGTATTGGTTTTATTGTTGAAATACTTTTTACATTGAGAAACAAACAACCCTGTCTATTCCAAATTTCCTTTATGTACAAAAAGCATTGATAAAGTGGGCGCTATTATTTGCTTCTGAAATTAAACATTCTTACCATGTTTTTAGAGCTGCATGCCCTGTATTTGCTTTGTCGAGATTTATGGCTCTAAAACATGTTTCCTGATATGTAATGTGTTTATAAGCTGATACTGATCTTGCAATGAAAAGGCCACTTGGAAACCGTTATTAAGATCTTGCCAACTTAAATATTAGTGTTCCTTTGCAATTAATCACTTGAGCACTTTAAAAACTTTGCATATTAGCTAAAACGTTCATTTCATAATTGCTGTGGTTGGTATTTGTGTGGCTTTGAGTTCAGTCAAATATTACATGCATTAAATCACTTTATTATGTATAGGAATTCATTTTTTTTGCCCACCTCTATGGAACTCAAAGGTTAATAGATCAGAATTGACAATTGTGTGCTTCAGTGAAATAGCTCTCGTCTTGTGATCTCCACTGAGGAAATGTTGATGTCATTCAAAATCTGCACTTTGGTGATTCCAGAAAACTGTTTCATTCGGTGCCTGTATTGCATTATCTTGTTGTCATCTACAAATATTTGGAAATGCTCCTGATCTGAGTATATTTCCACCTGGAATGAATAAAAAGATGAGATAAGTTAGGGAAAAACGGTATTTCAGACTGAGTATTGTGTATCTTTTACTGAAATGTTGTAGGCCAAGTGTAGGCCACTACTGGAAAAGAAGATGATGCTTTTGGGGAACCGTTAAGACAAAAGAGCAGAGTGCTCAGTCTGGCCTATGATGTACATATTTTAGTGACCAACATGAGAGTCATTATGTGAAGAATTCTGAACTGCAAAGGTTTCTTCTTCACAGGTGTATATGAGTAATGAACTCAACTCACGGGCAACGGCAAGGTATATAACAGTTATTCAAGGTATAACAGTGGTGGTGTAAATACAATTTACCAGGAAAGGCTCATTGACTTCCATTGGGAACGTGTCAGTACGTTCCTCTTGACCCCAGCGACTCCCCAGGAAGGAGTTGCAGACGATGTTGCCCTCTGAGAAACGAGGGTTGAAATGAAAAGCAATCTGGTCTCCTGATTCACTAAGGAAGTTGATTTCAAAGCTGTCACAAAAGGAACATCAATTTATATTAAAATGGAAGAACATTTTGAAAAGTGCACAACATTGTCCTTGTAATTTACAATTCCCCCCCAAAAAAACTACAGTTTCTCTAAGGGAAATATTTCCTCCCATCAGAACAATGTTTTCTAAGATTAAAATAACAGGTGAACACACAATTTCCTTACTCATTTTCGCTGAAGCTTGTCTCTCCTTTTACGATTACGCTCCATCCTGGACAGATTCCTTCGGGGAATGAAGCTTCAAACTAAGAAAACAATATCAAAGAAAACTTAAATAGAAAAGTAATAGTTTGGAACTGTTTCTGGACAGCAAACATGGATCGTAGTTTGCCAATTTGAATTTTTCCATTCAGAAGATGTCCATTAATTTTGGAAAGGCCTAATGAACTTGAACTTGAATTAGAGGTCAAGGCGGATAACAAAGGATAAGAAGTGACTGAAATTAGGATTTAGTGATAAGAAAAAATTGGCATAGAATTGACAAAAAAAAAAGAATCTTTCTCAGCGAGGATAAGAATCTTGCTCATTCTTATCTGTATGTAATTGTTGTTATTTGAATATGAGTTGTTTTTTGTTTGGTGCTACGCTTTTGACAGAGCTTTGTCACATGGGACATCAACCTGCAATAGCCAGACATATTGGTGAAGCAGTTCAAGTCACGGCTGAGTACACATAGCTGACATTTAGTTCACATGGAAAGGTTAAATTATGTTTATGTATTCCACTGCTAGAGGTCTTTTGTGATGTTGATATTTTACAGTTTGCTGAGATGTTTCTGATATAAAATTAAATAGCTGTAACCATTGCCAGCTTAAATATATATTTTTCTGAATAATTGTTGGGATTTAGGTTTTAGGAATCGTTCCAGTCTTACAGAGAAACGGAGTGCTCAATTCACAGATTCTTTATTCCTAGACGGTTAATCGAGCGTGCTGCTAACTCTTTTGTTTGCATTCAATAAACATCAAAAGTGTAGTAAACTGAAAATTATTTTGCAAAATGAAGGCTAAAATAGCCAAGTTTTGACTAAAGTAGAGCTGGAGATACGTTTTGAAGTATGCTTGTTAAAGGAACACTATAGTGTCAGGTATACAAACATGTATTCCTGAGACTTTAGTGCTTGTGTGACAGTTTAGATCCCCGATCCCCTTCTCTGTGGAGTAAAAACAGGTGTTTTTAGTCAACATTTCTCCATATCTGTGTCGGTCTCGAACGGACGGCTCTGCTTCCATGGCTAAGATCATAAGTCTTGATGATCTCAGCCAATCCAATGCTTTCCCGAAAGAGAGCATTAGGAGGCTATTGTGCATGTGCAGCAAAATGCTGCGCTGTTCCAATCAGTATTTCCTCACAGAGCTGCATTAAATCAATGTATCTCTATGGAGACGTTCACACCATGCAGCACTGGATTAGGAAGTTCCTCAAGTGGCTGTCTGAGTGACTGCCACTATAGGTGTTACTAGGCAGCTATGTATACACTGCCTTTTCTCTGAAGTTATTCTGATGACTATAGTGTCCCTTTAAGTCACTTCTTATAGGTGTTTTGTGGGCATGGAAAGGTAAAACAAAGTAGGCATGTGCATGGGGAAAATCTTCGGTTCGGTTCGGCATTCCGAAATTCGAGACTTTGGCAATTCGACATCTCAACACCTCGGAATTTCAGAACTTCGGCACATCAGCACTTCGGCACTTAGACACTTCGACACTTTGGAACTTTGGAATTTCGGCACTTCTCTTGCAGCCGCTTACTAGATAACTCCCTAATTCCCATGGTCACTATTGCCCAACCGGCCCACACTCCTGAGCGGGGGTGGGGGCCCTAAAGTAAAATGATGGGGGGACCTAATGTCCTCCCCCCTGGCCCCCATCCCTGAATGGTGGGTGGGGGCCCTAAATTAGAATAAGGTGGGGGACCAAAATTAGAATAAGAGGGGACCTAATGTCAACCACCTGGCCCCCACCCCTGAGTGGTGGGTGGGGGCCCTAAATACTAATAATGTCCTCCCCCCAGGCCCCCATCCCTGAGCGGTTGGTGGAGGCCTTAAATTAGAATAAGGTGGGGGACCTAAAGTCCTCCCCCCTGGCCCCTACCCCTGAGCGGTGGGTGGGGGCCCTAAATACTAATAAGGGGAGACCTAATGTCCTCCCCCATGGCCACCACCCCTGAGCGGTGAGTGGGGGCCCTAAATACTAAAAGGGGGACCTAATGTCATCCCCCTGGCCCCCACCCCTGAGCGGTGGGTGGGGGCCCTAAATACTAATAAGGGGGGGACCTAATGTCCTCCCCCCTGGTCCCCATCCCTGAGCGGTGGGTGGAGGCCCTAAATTAGAATAAGGGGGGACCTAATGTCCTCCCCCCCACCCCTGAGCGGTGGGTGGGGGCCCTAAATACTAATAAGGAGGAGACCTAATGTCCTCTCCCTTGGCCCCCACAACTGAGCAGTGGGTGGGGGCCCTAAATTAGTATAAGGGGGGGACCTAATGTCCTCCTCCTGGCCCCCAACCCTGAGCGGTGGGTGGGGGCCCTAAATTAGAATAAAGGGGGACCTAATGTCCTCCCCCTGGCCCCCACCCCTGAGCAGTGGGTGGGGGCCTTAAAAACTAATAAGGGGTGGAACCTAATGTCCTCCCCCCTGGCCCCCACCCCTGAACGGTGGGTGGGGGCCCTAAATTAGAATAGGGGGGGACCTAATGTCCTCCCCCTGGCCCCCACCCCTGAGCGGTGGGTGGGGGCCCTAAAAACTAATAAGGAGTGGAACCTAATGTCCTCCCCCCTGGCCCCCACCCCTGAACGGTGGGTAGGGGCCCTAAATTAGAATAAGGGGGGGACCTAATGTCCTCCCCCTGGCCCCCACCCCTGAGCGGTGGGTGGGGGCCCTAAAAACTAATAAGGGGTGGAACCTAATGTCCTCCCTCCTGGCCCCCACCCAGGGAGGGCCCTAAATTAGAATGGGGGGACCTAATGTCCTCCCCCCTGGCCCCCACCCCTGAGCGGAGAGTGGGATGCCTAAATACTAATAAGGGGGGACCTTTAACTAAGTACCTGTAAAAAAAATAAAACTTACCATTTGATGTTTTCTTTCTTCTAAAATCTTATTTTTTCAGCCCCTAAAAAGGTCAAATAAAAAATCCATAATAACCGACGCAAAAAAATCCATCTTCACCCATGGAGGGCTCCGCGCAGAGTGAGCTCTGCAGGGCGGGGCAAGGCTTATAAAGCCTTGCCCCGCCCTGCAATTAGGCTCAGAGCACTCTGATTGGTGGGTTTCAGCCATCCAATCAGAGTGCTCTGACAGGTAAATTAAGAGACTGACAGGTAAGTCTCTATATTTTCCTGTCACAGCACTCTGATTGGTTGGCTTGAAATCCACCAATCAGAGTGCTCTGTGTCATTTTACACAGCGTGAGAAAGTTCTTTTGAATTTTCCCACACTGTGTAATTTGACTCATAACACTCTAATTGGTTACTTAATCCACCAATAATTAATAATGTATAGGTAATTTTTTTTTGGGGGGGTAACATTTTTATTTAGGGCCCCCACCCGCCGCTCAGGGGTGGGGGCCGAGGGGGAGGACAATATGTCCCCCCCTTATTAGTATTTAGGGCCCCCACCCACCGCTCAGGGGTGTGGGCCAGGGGGGAGGACATTAGGTCCCCCCCCTTATTTTACTGTAGGGCCCCCACCCACCGCTCAGGAGTGGGGCATTGGGGGAGGACATTAGGTCCCCCCCCCTTATTAGTATTTTGGGCCCCCACCCACTGCTTAATGAAGTGGTCTTGGTGCCAGGTCCTTCTAGGGTTAACCCATTGTTTTATAAACATAGCAGTTTCAGAGAAACTGCTATGTTTATCAATGGGTTAAGCCTTCCCCCAATTCCTCTAGTGGCTGTCTCATTGACAGCCGCTAGAGGCGCTTGCGTGACTCTCACTGTGAAAATCACAGTGAGAGCACGCAAGCGTCCATAGGAAAGCATTATAAATGCTTTCCTATGCGACCGGCTGAATGCGCGCGCAGCTCTTGCCGCCGTTGCGCATTCAGCCGACGGGGCGGATCGGAGGAGGAGAGCTCCCCGCCCGGCACTGGAAAAAGGTAAGTTTTAACCCCTTTCCAGAGCCGTGCGGGAAGGGGTTCCTGAGCCACATATGCATCACATTACACCACAAACACAACACGACTAAAACCGACCTTATTACACAATACCACACCACGACCAGCTCACTCTACACACAATACCACAAGCAGGCTCCAAACACATGCACGATACTCTTTCCTGGCCTTTTTTCTCCTGGTATCCATTTATAAAGACACCAGAGACAAGTTGCAAGGAAACACAGTGCAAGCATGTTATTAAATTTGCTTGCACTGTGCAGAACAAATACAGGACTTTTTTCTCATGCTAGAGCTCTTCAGCAGAGCTCTGCGCATGGTCTGCCCTGGGAGAGCATTGAACCAACATGCTCACTTTGAGAGGAGGCGTGTTTGTCATTGGTGATGACAAAACACACCTCCTCTGCCCCGCCCCCTTTTTAGTGGGCCGCTGTGTTAAAAAAATGCCCGGGCCGAATTTTTCTCCCAGTCCAGCCCTGCCCTACTTACTCCACTCCTTGTGAGCAAACTCATGGGTGGAACATGTAGGTGGACTTATGGGTGGGCCTTATGGGCATACCCACTGTCAGGCTCTGGGGCCCAGACCTTGAGCTGTGTAAGGGGCCCCAAAAAATTGAGCTGCTTCCCGTTCCCCCAGAACATTGACTTTTGTGACCACAGTTACAAACAGCCTCCAGAGATCCTGTTCTAAACCAGACCAGTGGAGCCAAACCGCAGCCCATCATCATCCTCATCTGGTTGTAAGTAGGCAATCTAGTATATTATTAGTGACACTAATCGATAATTTACCTCACATTAAAGGGACACTATAGTCCCCAGAACCATTGCAGCTTAATGAAGTGGTTCTGGTGTCTATAGCCTGTCCCTGCACGCTTTTTAATGTAAACACACACTGTGTGCAGCACTGGTGGTAGTTCATATGGCACATCATATGGGTGGGGCATTGTGATGTCACATGGGGGGGAATTTTCATTGGCACCCATCCAATGTAAGTAATCAAAGTGTAATGTCCTTCATTGAGAACCGGAAGCGCTCTGCTCTGAGCTAGCCAGGCAGTGGCAGGGCTTAACTGATTGACTGAGGACAATCAGTTGCCACTCACAAACAAGGATCTCAATGAAGAATGCGACTGATACTCAGGGGATCCCAAGTACGTTGTCAAACCGGTCTGAAACAGCGCACCGCAGTGGTTATGGTGCTTGGAGTGTTTCTTTAAGTTTCACACAATCCTGATGTCTGTAGTTGCCAGTATTTTTTGTTTGCATGGACTGCTTTATTAATAATTGAGTTATAAATAAATGTTACTTTATTAAGACAGAGGGAGACAAAGATACATGTATAAACTTGACCCAGACTGTGAGTAATTCAGAATATATTCTGATTTAGTAGGTGTCATATTATTATTGTTACATAGTTACACAGGTCTATAAAAAGACTAATATAGGTTGAAAAGACTGGAGTCCATTATTTTCAGCCATTCACATAAATCTGTGTCTGAACGCCACAGTTTGAAGAACAACTGGGTGAGAAAATCTAAGAAAAAATCCTTCTTGATCCCAAAATGGGAGTCAGAATCCTCCTTCTATCAACAAGCTTTGCATCTCTGTGTTGTAGTTTATTTATAAGCCCAAATCAGCGAATCCGCTTTGTATCTGACTTCAAGAAGACATTAAAATCAGAAAATTGTGGCAAACGTAGTCTATGGATTCTATTTGCCCAGCTCTTATTTAAACTGAAAAGTTTTCTTATCACTAGGAAAATTAACAGTCAATTATACTTTAGAAGTGAATTTGTAATAGGACATCAGGTGGCTTATTTGTCAAGACAACTAATTACATTTTTATCAAATTATAGCCTCCAGGGTGGCAATCAATTTGGCAAAGTAATTAGCCTCTAATAATGACTGCTAGTTACTAACTCATACAAGATAATTAAGAACTAGAATGAGAAATGTGCACATCTTGCGTTTTAATTATTTAAACATTTTGATATTATACCGAGGGTCTCTTTATTTACCAATCATGTTTTGAATTACACTTAAGGTATTTTTTTAATACCTTTCAACTAAATCCACTCAATGCTTTTCTTACATTACGAAGAATATGTAACATTATTTTAGTTAGCATTTTTTTTTTAAGAATGTTCTCACTTCTTTTGTATATTGCTGGTTGATTTTATTAAGGTGTTAAGGGAACAGTATAGCGTTAGGAACACAAACATATAATGCTGTAGTGTTCTATAATTACTGAGGTGTCCCCTTCTCCCCTTCACCTCCACCTGTGTGTGCATTCAAAAATAAGTTAACCCTTGCCATGCTGGTTTCTATACTGTTGTACTGCCTCCTTGGCTGACACTATCAGTCTTGCCAATTTAATGCTTACGCTGTAAATCGCCGTGCTCTATGGGGAGTGTTTAGTGTTTTCATGCTTTGCATGGCGACGCTAAACACAGGTCCTGCAAAGATTGGAGGACCTCGTCCAGGAAGTCCCTCTGATGTCTATCCAAATGATAGTCAATAAACAAGATCAAGAAAAAAAAAGCAGCATTTAGAATGCTCAGCCTGCAGGGATATTCTCTTGGCCCCAGAACCATTACACTGTGGTTCTTTTGACTGTAGAGTCCCTTTAATATAAACTAACTACATATTAAACCATCTACCAGTAAATGGAAAGATAATCTTAGAGAATATTAATATAGAGATATTTCAGAGCAAATTAGATGGAATTCTTTCTTTAGGCAATGTGTGTGGCACCAGGTATCACATATAGGGCCACACAGTTGTAGGCATGTGGAAGGGCCAACCAGGAGGAAAACAGGGAGAGAAGATCAACATATGTGCTGGATGGCACTGAAAGACCACAACGTAATAACTGCAAAGCATACACACATCGCAATTCCTAGCCCAATTCCGTTCACAGTTAATCCAGCTAGGCAGAGAACCGTGCTGTGTGCATGCGCGGTCATATCACGGTTCCTGCAAGTGAAGGACACTTGCAAGAGAAGGCAAATACTTTTACAATTTAGTGCGGAGGCTATAATTCCTCGTATGACATCATTGACAAAGTGGTGGAGCCCCAGAATCAGACACTAATATGAATATCACAATCAAGGCAACTGTTTAACAATAGCTTACAAATATAGCTAACCAGTAAAAGAAGTTATAGCGATTATGGTGCTTAATATAGTCTCAGCAATGATTAATAAAGTAGCCAAGGTGTTCCACTAAATTTCACAATTGTTTGATCACTATTTGGTGGGACTCTCCAACACACCTAGGTTTTTGGAAGCACTGACCAGTTAAACTCAGAACAAAATAAGTTGGTTGCACATACGTATACTTATTTAAGCAGTTCGATGGCAATTTAATCTAGGGGGCTTTAATGGAATTATGGTAAAAACACCAGGGGCTTCGGCTCAAGGGTAAATTGTATAGCACCTTGACTTCACCCCACCCTATACCATGTCCAATGTCAAACCCAAAACCGCCCAAAATTCTATAGCTCAGATTGAGATATTAAAGGGACACCGTAGGCACTGTATCTGCTTCATCTGATTAAACTGGTTATAGTGTATGGAGTCCCCTGGTGCCATCATTTCTTTAAACAGTTTTTAATGTTGTAATGTTTTAGTGCTAAACAAGAGACCCCGGCAGTCCATCCCCTCTGTGCTGCTTTGGCTAATAAGAAAGTTTTACCCTGAGCAGCAATGGTCAGCTGTGATTGGCTGAGAGTGTCAGCTGACTGCTTTTAACCTGTCAGAGCTCCAACTGACGGTATGAATGGTTATGACAACAAGGAAGTGTGTAATCTCTGCCTTAGCTACACATACAGAAGGGGCCGGACTGTGGGTGGCCAGGGACTCTTATTTTGTGGCATACTGCACAAATATGGTGCAACACTGAATGGAGGGACAGTGCCAGGCCACTCCAGGCACTATAACCAATTCAAAGAGACAAAGTGGTTATAGTGACTTCAGTGTCCCATTAATGAAGAGAGAGTTTTCTATAAGTCTATAATTATAAACTTTACAACACATGCAGTAATAATCTCAAGCCATGGTGCATCAACCCTGTACCAACACTGCGCAGTATAATTAAGTCAAAATACAGGGCATCAAAGTGGCACTGTCACTAATTATGTAACTATAGGCATTATTTATTTATTTTTCAACCTAGATTACTAAATGACTGTGCTTTGCTAGAGATATATCATTGGAGTTACTTACTAGTGCTCTAATTGGTTCCATATGAGAAATAATTTAGTGAACAGAACCTATAATATAGCTTTTGGACAATACCTTTAGATATTAATAAACTCATTAGGTCCAAGACCTCAGAGTATCTCCAAGCAATCATTTACATACACTTCCCAGGTTCTACATACATTATCTGTTTAATTTGATAACATCTTCTTTTACAATAGAATTTAGTAGAATTTCTCTTCACTTACCTTTAAGGCCATCTTTGCAGCAACGCATCAGATTTGCAATAGATACCCACCTTGCAGACCCTAATATACCATTGGGTACGTCAGATAGCCACGTGTGGGAGATTTGCAAGAATCCATTGAAATGACACATACACAGAGTGAAGCTGGGGTTGGAGAACAGACTAGATAATAGAATGTTTCACACAGTAATCCGCCCATTAACTTTCCATCTGCGAAACTGGCATTCCAGCACAATGTGGATTATATGACGTCACATACAGATTTTACCAGAAAATGGAACTGCTGGGATCAGCAGTTTGGCTAAAACCACAGAACTGCAGGTACTTTACTGACACAGATTGAAACAAACAAACAAGCAAGGAATCTTTAATGTTTTCTAATATGTGTCTTATGTGCATTTACAAGGGAATAGCGTAATTGGAAAATAAAATCAGAAATATTGATTTTTCTTCAAACTTGGATACATTGGATGGAACCATGCAATTCCTTTTCTAATTCTCCACAATTTCTAGTTTATTGAATAAACATCATGGAACTATTAAGACCTGCTGGGAATACAATCTAAAGTGTGCTACCTGAATCCATATTTAACCTTGTTCTGCATCTCTCAGTTTTAGGGGATGCAAGGGTTAGCTACAAAAGATCCATGTGGTCACATCCATATGGGACCTGTGTACGAGAAACTAGACTTGTGCATTCAATTTTGGATAATGTGTGATTTGTCCAGATTTTGATTGAATACCATGACTCTGAAATGCTATATGGACATATCACGAAACAACGAAATTGGAAATGGACAAGATGTTTCTTGATTCTGATGTGGTGACTGGCCAGCACTTACTAGTCAATGGGTAGGGTAGGGGATGGACAGTTGCATGTACACCCCCTTTGGTAGGAGAGTAAAGGAGGGTGCCCAATGGCATGCCCACCTCCTTTTAATTTTCATATAGCCTCCACCTGCCGCCCATGAGTGTGGGCTGTGGAGGACAGTAGTACCTGTTATTATAGTAGTAGCTCCTGACCCCTACTAACTGCCTATATACAGGGCCTACTGGGGGCTGATCTAAGCAAAAGCTTAGAAAAACTCAGTAGATAGCCCTTCGGTTAGTCCCCTATCAGATCTCAAAAATATTTTGCTCATTTTTGCTATTACAAAGAGAACCTATACCATTTTCCTATCAGGCTGGTCCCACCCATAAGCGCAGTCCAGAACTGAAATGCCAGAAAATTCACTCTGCATGAGAGATACAGCAACACAGAGTGATAATTTTGGCCTTCTTTGGGCCTCATCAACGAAGTGCAGCTGATACTCCTACGGGTAGGATTAGTCTGATAAGTGAATGGTATAGGTTTTCTTTGTAACTGAAGGGTTTCTCTAAGCTTTTGTCTGTTCTCAGAGTTTTCATATTCCCTGTTTTTGTTGCAATGCAATTTGCTAGGGCTCTCCCTAAGCAAAAAGGATACTTTAAATATGGACCCTGTGCTCACTGTGCCTAGAGGAGTATCAGCTGCACCTCGCTGATGAGGCCCAAAAAATGCCAAAACAATTGTCTGATGTTGCTGTATCTCTCATGCAGAGGGAACTTGCCGGCATTTAGGTTCTGGACTGCCCTTATGGTTGGGATCTCATGGACAGACAGGTGCAGACAGGCCCTTCTGGCGGTGCTGTGGAGAAGTATTAGAGCATTCCGTGGTAATCCATTGGCAACACTCTCATACTGTAGAAGGAGCATAGAACTTGGTCTGTTTCTGCAGAGGGTTAAGCCCAAGTTCTCCCTCCTATTCCCAGTATCAGGGCTGCCTGTGCAGAGCGGGAGATCTTGACCTCCCCACCGACCTTGAAGGCCCCTCTCTGGGCTGACGCTTGAGTTGCACTGGCCTTGCAGTGCCTTGCTCTCCACGTTATTAATTTAATGAACAGGGACTGATGGGAAGTCACTTCCGACTTACTGAACTCTGCTCCTCTGCTGTACTATACCACCAATGATAACCTAATCAACATTAAAAAATACAGATGATACCAATAAAATCGATCAACTCCATGTTAAAATAGAGAAATGGGGCACAGGGTTAGTCCTGCTTGTTGGATGCATTAGGGTGTGCTTAGGCACGTTAAGCACACCCTGTGCTCACACCAATGTTAGAACTAAACAATATAGGGGTGCAGTGCAAAGACTAGACTTGGAGATTAATTTTGGGACTCAACTGAAATTAAGCAGAATTTAGGCTGATTGGTTCTTCAGCTGAATTCCCAAAGTCTGAATTCTGAAATATATCCATCCGTGGAGCCAAAAAAAAGATGATTGATGGGAAAATAAGATGATTAAAGGCAAGGGGATAGCCATTAAATGTAAATTTTACTCACAGATCAAAAGAGCTAAAAAAAAGAGGGGCAGTAAATAACGATATTTTAACCTAATGGCGGTAAAATGCTCCTATAAGTGAACTGCAAAGTATATACATAATGTGACGGGTCCCCTGTCGGCCGACTGAGCACACCCTTTCCGAACAGCTTTGTCCCGTCGCCAAACCACAGATGTCAGCCCGTTCACGAAGATCCAGTCAGCTAACACCTCTCCCCCAAGAACAGCAGACACACACAGCTTGAGGGTAGAACAGGAACTATTTTTTATTAGACACACCCAGGTATTTGTACACAAGTAAACTCATTAGTAAACACACATAGGTTTGGAACAGCAACCAATCAAACTTGGCCTAAACAAACAGCCAATCACACTAAGCCTATTAATAACCAATAAGGCATACCTTCACAGAACACCAACTTTGCATACACAGGAACACATTATGCATTAGGTAAAGGGATTAACACACAGTCAACAATAGGTGACTCAGCTAACTGAGTCACAAAGGGGAAAGTCCCAACCCCCAACCACGTAGTCACATAGTCTCTGTTTCGGCGCAATCTTGTCGCTCCATGTTGTGGCTAGGTCTAAGTCTGTGCGGTCTAAATGGCCGCTCCCCACCAGAGCCCACCCGAACAGAGGAGCCCTTGATGCCCAAGTGACGGCGTACCAGCGTTCCACATAATATTACTAATTGTCCATTTCAAGCCTTTTTGATTTGTTCTCCTGATTCATTCCTGAACTGACATTTGTCCGAGCAGAACTGACTTACAGCCATAATTTTGATGTCATGAAAAATGTTTTATCGTCAGAAAAAAATATTCGTCAGACTCAAAATTTCTTGTTGTGTGCAATCTAATAAAAACGAATATATGGATGAGAGATATGAATAGTGGAAGATAAGGGATCAATGTGTTGCTGTATAAATTTTCATTTGAAGTTTCAAGAATTTTAAATATCTGAAACTCAATTTAGTGTGATATTTAAAGATTAATTGCGATTAATTAATTACAAATTTTTTTAAAGTATTTTATGGAAGAAAACCATCCTTATATTTTTGTTTAACTGTGGACTGTCTACAATTTAAACATAAATGTCTACTTTTTATTACGAACCCCTTACATGAGTGCCCCTCTATCCCAGCCCTGATTGTTTATTGGGTTACTTACTGACCATAACTGATCCAAATGTCATAACGACTTTTCCAAACGACCGCATTTTCTGCTATTTCCGATAGGCAAACATACGCTAAATCCACTTCAAACAATGCAGGATTATTGTGCTAAATCTCTTTTATTTTCTGCTGATTTAGAAAAATACCTTTTTTTTAATCTATTACTGTTAAAAAAAACAATACATTGCGTGTATGATGCAAGGACTTTAAACAGCTGAATAGGAGGTATATAATATACAACTAAACAATTATATAGTTATTAACTACTGTAATATTTATATTAAACACATGCACACATAACACACAAAACACATACATGCAATTAGAATATAGAAATCCCTTAGATATGCACCAGTATCTATACGTACCTCTATCTGTATGTACCTGTATCTGTACTTTGAAAGTATAAGCTCCAGCTATATTTGAGAAGATTAGGTGAACTCTACACTTTCTAATCTCTGTGTTCTATAATGGGGTTGTGTAAAACTTAATGGATTTCAACAGTATAGATCTCTCTTTATTGCTTTGCGTTTTGGGACTCATAAGGAAAGAAATGGAATTTGGAGCACTCTCAGCAATAGCAAAACGATATGCAAAGATCCAGGTTGTAAACCAGTCTGGAGCACTTTTGGATAACCGATGGCTAAGTTGGATGCTTTAACAGAATTCATTTTGAACGTTTGTCCACTGACAAAGAAATAATCAGTCTATAATTTTAATGGTAGGTGTATTTTAACAGTGAGAGACAGAATAACAACAAAAACTAAATCCAGAAAAAGCATTTCAAAAAAGTTATAAATTGAGTTGCATGTCAATGAGTGAAATAAGTATTTGATCCCCTATCAATCAGCAAGATTTCTGGCTCCCAGGTGTGTTTCATACAGGTAACGAGCTGAGATTAGGAACACTCTCTTAAGGGGAGTGCTCCTAATCTAAGATTGTCACCTGTATAAAAGACACCTGTCCACAGAAGCAATCAATCGATCAGATTCCAAACTCTCCACCATGGCCAATACCAGGGAGCTGTCCAAGGATGTCAGGGACAAGATTGTAGACCTACACAAGGTTGGAATGGGCTACAAGGCCATTGCCAAGCAGTTTGGTGAGAAGGTGACAGCAGTTGGTGCAATTATTCACAAATGGAAGAAACACAAAATAACAGGCTCCCTTGGTCTGGTGCTCCATGAAAGATCTCACCTCATGGAGTTTCAATGATCATGAGAACATTGAGGAATCAGCCCAGAACTACACAGGAGGATCTTGTTAATGATCTCAAGGCAGCTGGGACCATAGTCACCAAGAAAACAATTGGTAACACACCACTTCATGAAGGATTGAAATCCTGCAGCACCCGCAAGGTCCCCCTGCTCAAGAAATTACATGCCTGTCTGAAGTTTGCTAATTAAAATCTGAATGATTCAGAGGAGAACTGGGTGAAAGTGTTGTGGTCAGATGGGACCAAAATCAAGCTCTATGGCATCAACTCAACTCGCCGTGTTTGGAGGAGGAGGAATGCTGCCTGTGACCCCAAGAACACCATCCTGTCAAACCAATGCATTTTTGTCTGTGTCTCATGGTCTCCCTGTAACTCAGCTCTTCAGCATAGGAGTTTATGCAGAAGAGCTAATTGACAGGTGAG